GGGCGGGGCCAGGGAGTGAAGGGCTGGATGACCTCCAGCTAGGAAAGGAGGCGGAGCTCTATCTGACTTGCTGCAGCTTCTGATGCACATTGTGAGAAGCTCCCAGTGTGCAGTGACATCAGAGGAAGAGGAGAGGCCGGAGGTCAGATAGAAGACTGAAGGGGAGGATAGAGGTCAGATAGAAGACTGAAGGGGAGGATAGAGGTCAGATAGAAGACTGAAGGGGAGGATAGAGGTCAGATAGAAGACTGAAGGGGAGGATAGAGGTCAGATAGAAGACTGAAGGGGAGGATAGAGGTCAGATAGAAGACTGAAGGGGAGGATAGAGGTCAGATAGAAGACTGAAGGGGAGGATAGAGGTCAGATAGAAGACTGAAGGGGAGGATAGAGGTCAGATAGAAGACTGAAGGGGAGGATAGAGGTCAGATAGAAGACTGAAGGGGAGGATAGAGGTCAGATAGAAGACTGAAGGGGAGGATAGAGGTCAGATAGAAGACTGAAGGGGAGGATAGAGGTCAGATAGAAGACTGAAGGGGAGGATAGAGGTCAGATAGAAGACTGAAGGGGAGGATAGAGGTCAGATAGAAGACTGAAGGGGAGGATAGAGGTCAGATAGAAGACTGAAGGGGAGGATAGAGGTCAGATAGAAGACTGAAGGGGAGGATAGAGGTCAGATAGAAGACTGAAGGGGAGGATAGAGGTCAGATAGAAGACTGAAGGGGAGGATAGAGGTCAGATAGAAGACTGAAGGGGAGGATAGAGGTCAGATAGAAGACTGAAGGGGAGGATAGAGGTCAGATAGAAGACTGAAGGGGAGGATAGAGGTCAGATAGAAGACTGAAGGGGAGGATAGAGGTCAGATAGAAGACTGAAGGGGAGGATAGAGGTCAGATAGAAGACTGAAGGGGAGGATAGAGGTCAGATAGAAGACTGAAGGGGAGGATAGAGGTCAGATAGAAGACTGAAGGGGAGGCCGGATAGAAGACTGAAGGGGAGGCCGGATTTCAGTATACTCCCCTCCCCCGCCGCCATCATCACAATTCATAAAAACACAACAGGACAATATAAATCTTTCGGTGTCACTCACAATGACGTCTCCCCGGCTGGGACTTCTATGGAGCAGTAAAGCGGAATCACCGTTTAATAGATGAGGAGCCTTGTGATTGGCCCCCGGTGAGGTCATCGCCCGGAGGGGGGGAGGGGTGACAAGGATTTCAGGTTTAGAAGACAATGAAGATAAAATGTAATAAAAGCCGCGACACGGATGTCATAAAAAATGAGCATTTAGAACATTTTTTTTGCTGTCGGTCCGGCAAAGCTTTGCAACCGCGATGAGGACGTCACGCGTGCAGTGCGCAGGCTCTTGCAGTATCTCCCCCATCCTTAGATGTGGCCGCCGTAGTTTTCTCTTTACTCCGGTAACACACTTCCTGTCCTAGGGTGACAACTCTCACTGCCCTGCATCTCTGGAGGGGCGGAGTTGTCGCCCTAGGACAGGAAGTGTGTTAGGACTACAGAACATCTGCCACTCTTCTATGCAACACAGCAGATTCTGTAGTCCTAACGCACCTCCTCATAGAGTGCACAAGGCAGCGCTGGATTTCGGGCAGGATCAACAGGTTATGGAACAGACCTAACAAAACGCTTCCGATGGAATATTTAACAGAACAAAGGATCGTTGTCACAGTTTATATACATTTAAATGTAAAATAAGCCCCTCCCCTGGGAGTATCAAATTACTATCTGTGCTGACCCAGCTCCTCCACCGCTCCGTTCCCTCCAGCTCATAGCCCTCTCTTCTTCTGGGAGTGTCTAATTACCATCCATGCTGGCTCAGCTCCTCCACCCCTCTCCTTCCAGGTCATAACCCTGTCCTCTCCTGGGAGTGTTTAATTATTGTCTGTGCTGACCCAGCTCCTCAGTCCCTCCCTAAATAACCATTGATGTAGCTGTAACTATAGTGTGTCAGCTCGGAGTCTGCTGGGTTTGCTGACGTCACATCCAAGATGGCGGCAGTCTCGGGGGCCTTCGGATGTCTACACAGGGGAGACTTATTTAACGCTCATATAATCTTATTGGAAGACTGTTGCTGAATGGTCTGGTGACAGGTTCTCTTTACACCCATCACTAGACTTTATTGTATTTATGACGGCAGAGGGTAACGACGTCTAACTTCCTGTGTTGTCACCAAGACAGGAAGTGAGATGAAATCTCAGGGAGGGAACAAGCAGTAATTAAAACATGTGACGCCGAGCCTCCATGACTGACAACTGAACTCCAGTGAATGAAAGGGGCGGGGCCAGACCTGTATGTCAGGTGTCACCATACAAAGTAACAACATGGAGATACAAATGTATCCAAGGAGACTCCGCCCACATCCTCCCAGAAGATTTAACAGTATCCAATAATGACTCCGCCCACATCCTCCCGGAAGATTAAATAGTGACTAATAAGACTCCACCCACTTCCTCCCCGAAGATTAAAAGTATCCAATGAGGCTCCGCCCCCACACCCTCCCTGAAGATTAATAGTGTCCAATAATGAGGCTCCGCCCCCACACCCTCCCTGAAGATTAATAGTATCCAATAATGACTCCGCCCACATCTTCCCTGAAAGATTTGCCGAATCTAATGAGACCCCCGCCCACATCCTCCCTGGAAGATTCAGCCGTATCTAATGAGACTCCGCCCACAGCCTCCCTGAAGATTAATAGTATCCTATAATGACTCCGCCCACATCCTCCCTGAAAGATTTGCCGAATCTAATAGAGACCCCGCCCACATCCTCCCTGAAGATTAATATTACCTAAGACTCCGCCCACATCCTCACTGAAGATAGTGACTAATAAGACTCCGCCCACATCCTCCCTGAAGATTAATAGTGACTAATAAGACTCCGCCCACATCCTCCCTGAAGATTAATAGTATCCTATAATGACTCCGCCCACATCCTCCCTGAAGATTAATAGTATCCTATGACTCCGCCCACATCCTCCCTGAAGATTAATAGTATCCTATGACTCCGCCCACATCCTCCCTGAAGATTAATTGCTGTATAATTTTGTATGCTGTAGAAGTAAATTCAAGAAGCCGCGAGCTACTCAGGTGATCAGAATCCGGCATGTGAAGTCACATGACCCGCAGCAGCCCAGGACTGCCAGTGGCGAAATCGGCATTCACTTCTCTGCCTTCACTGATGAG